CTGTCTGCCTGGTGGCATAAATCGTATTAATCGTCAAGTGACAAAAAATAATCGATTAATGTTTTTCTGACGATTAATTGCACACGATACGATTACGCCCAACCCTACACTTGGGTTGTTACTGACATCTGGTGAAAATTTCATGTCATTAGCACCTCTAGTAATATATTTACTGAGAAAAATGGTGACGTGTTCAATACTTACTTTACCCGCTGTATATGCTTTAGTGTTACGCCTCTCAGAATGTTTTTCCTTCCAGGAAAGCTCCAACGGGCCAGTGAAGAAATCCATGAGAGAAAAGGCCATAGAAAGACGTAACATCAACAAGGAACACAACAGTAACTTCAAAGCCGGCTATGTGCCCATCGAAGAGGAGCGTCTTCACAAAACAGGCCTCAGAGGACGCAAGGGAAACATGGCTGTTTGCATTATTGTCCTCCTCTTCCTCCTCGCCCTCATCAACCTCATCGTGAGCGCCTCCAACACCATCACACGTGCTTCTTATTAGAAACGATTGTTTGAAGTTGTGTTTTAAAGCCTGCCACATTTCTTCTGTTCCTCAGATCACGCTGGTGATCTGGACCGTGATTCGCATCGGCCCAAATGGCTGCGACAGCATCGAGTTCCACGAGAGCGGTCTGCTGCGCTTCAAGCAGAAAGCAGACATGGGAGTGGTCCACCCGCTGCACAAGAGCACAGTCGGAGGCCGTAAGGACCAGGACCTGGTCATTGTAGGAAACAACAACCCAGTAAGACATATCCACTCTGAGAGAAATCCCACAGTGTTTGGATACATTTAGACCTTCCCTCCTGGACTGAATGTGTTTTTAACAGGTTGTGTTCCAGCAAGGGACGACAAAGCTGAGTGTGGAGAAGGACAAGACCTCGGTTGTCAGTGATGTGGGCATATCCTTCACAGACCCTCGGACTCAGGCCACATTCTTTAGCACGGACTTTGAAAATCACGAGTTCCATCTGCCGAAGGGAGTCAAAGTCCTCAGTGTTAAAAAGGCTTCGACTGAAAGGGTGTGTATGATGCTAGTGTTCGATTTCTGATTCATTGTTTGTGTTTCACAATCTGGGCAGGAGGTGCAGAGTTTACACATGCCATAAAGGCAAAGAGAAMCAGAAATGAACTAATCAATAAATTATTAAGTCACCAGTAAAACACTGAGTGTCATCAGCGTTCACAGGAAAAGGTTTTCATTTAGGTGGGGACTCAGTTTAAGCCTCCTGTTGTGTTCGTTTCTGAGGAACAGCAATAATGTTCCTGGGTCAGTTTGACCCGGGGCATGTTTAATCATGGTATAGTGTCAGAAACCACAAAAAAATCCCCCAAAACATTTTTATATCTAATTATTAAGTCCATTACTAACAATTTCAATCAATATTTGTGAATTGATGTTTTTTTAAATTTCAGATTAGGGCTGCCATGATTAATCGATTAATC